TGAACTGGCCTTTCCCTGTAATCATATTAGTCAATACCCTAACTGTCATCATAGAACCTACATCCAGTAACAGATGGAAGCAGATGCTGAGATCCACAATCAAGCACCAGGCCAACCTTCTGGAATACTTTTGAAGAGAGGGAGGAGGAAATATGTGAGCAGGGGAGGTCAAGATAATACAGTTGTATTTTTTGTTTTGTTTTGTTTTTCAAGATAGTGTTTCTCTGGTTAGCCTTGACTCCTGGAACTCTGTAGACCAGGCTGGCCTTGAACTCACAAAGATCTATCTACCTTTGCCTCCTGACTGCTGGGATTAAAGGTGTGTGCCACCACTACCTGGCTATGTAGTTGTATTTTTAAACAAAATAAATGTAGACTTTCTAGCCTACTTTTTTATTTATTCATTTTAATAATAGTATAGGATCAGCCACTTTTGCTTCCTAAAGACCCCATGTAAACTTAGTTTTACTGCCACTGCCCCATGATCCCCAGCTCCCTTGGTTTTTCTGAGATAGCCTTGGCTGTCCTAGAACTATCCCTGTAGACCAGATTGGGCTGCAAGTCAGAGATCTGCTTGCTGAAGTTAAAAGACGTATGGCACCATTACCATTGCCTGGTTACATTTTTTATATTATTTTTTAAATCATTTCTGTTATTATCTGCCTGGTTGCTCAGTTTTCTGAGTTTGTCATGAATGTTCTCTTGGCATTGTAAAGTTTGATCTTACATTCTGCATACAGAATGGGTACACACTATACTATCTGCAAGGACATGTTCATCTTTGATGCCAACGACTGAAAATCATATTTTACGAGCAGAAGGTTTCTTTCATGGATATTTAGCCTGGAGCTATTTACACATACCAGGATGTTTTATTCCCCAATGTATGCCTGGCTCTGCCATCCTCTTTGAGTTCTCCAACTAATAGTGGGCACCACCATTTCAGGCAGCTTCTTCTTGGTATCCTGCACAAACAATAATGTTCCTATTAGCTCATTATAAAATACGCCATTTATTTGTGGGATTCAGGATAATGACTGAATTTCTACCATGACATCGGACATGGCTTATAGAGTAAAAACTTTCAGCTGGGTATTTGGAGAGCAGTGTCCCATTGTACTAGGCAGAAGACACTGGCCTGGGTTGTCCCGTGATATTCAGTGACCTGGATTCCCTAACGTTATTCAGGTAGAAGGGTGAGCCTGAATCTCACCGGAAAATTAGTGTGCCATTTTGCCGTTTTGTTATGACTAAGGTTGGGGTTTTTTGTTTGTTTTGTTTGCTTTTGTTTTTGTTTTGAGAGAAAACATGTTTGTGGACCAACCAATACAACAATGAGAGGAGACACTGCTTAGGTGAACTAAATTCTTACTTCCACAAGGTGGCACCTTACAACTGGTATGTGTAGCATCATTTCCAAAGGACAAGCACATGGCAACCTTTGACCAGAAAAGGGCACAGCAACATCATCTCTCTCTCTCTCTCTCTCTCTCTCTCTCTCTCTCTCTCTCTCTCTCTCTCTCTCTCATATTTATATCTACATCTATATATATCTCATATCTATACCTATATCTATCTACAAATCACATACTTTCCTCTCCCCCCAACCAATAGCCTAGGAATCTATTGGAAAATGACATAATACTGATCTAAAAGAAAAAAAGAAACATATTGATAAATGACTCCTAATGATATTATTACTACTCATAGATCAATTTCTTGTTCAGCCATCATCAGAAAAGCTTCCTCCTGCAGCAGATGTGAGTGAATACAGAGACCCACAGCCAGACATTGCACAGAGAGTGAGAGCCCTTGGAACACTCAGCCATAAAAATGGTATATCTCCATGAAACCCATGCCCTCCAAGCTCAGGGAACCCCATGGAAGAGGAGTTGAAAAAGAGTTTAAAAGCCTGAGGGAATGGTGGACCAAGACAACAAGGCCCACTATATAAACATGAGCAAAAGCTTTTATGGACTCATGGAGGCTGAAGCAGTATAAACAGGGCCTGCACTAGGTCCTCCCAGTATATATTATGGGTTCTATTATAGTGTTTTTATGGGATTCTAGTGGGTCTCTGACTTTTGTGTCTTCTCTTGGGATCTTTGCCTACTATTGATTTGTTTTGTCCATCTTTGGTGTGATAGTTTTTGCTTTATCTTATACTTAATTTTGATATATTTTTAAAAATTAATGAGTGAATGATTTAATAAATGAAATCCTAGATACTACTATAAAGGCTAAAAACGGAACTGTATTTATACCTGCTGGGAGAGGGATAACCACTTTTCTCCAATAGAGTGACACTCATATTCAAGATAGGCCTCATTTTCAGGAGTAATTAATCAACATCTAATGGACTCCTCTGTGTGTGTGTGTGTGCACTTTTATTTGGTTACAGTTTGTGGTTTTGCTTGTTTTCTTTTTGGGTTTGGTTTTAATTTTTTTTTTTGGAGGATTTTGTCGTTTTATTGTTTGTTTGTTTGATTTTTTAGATATTAGGTGGGTAGGGAGTGGGGAGGATTTAGAAGGACTTCAGGAAAGGGAAGGATTTGCTAAAATATATTTAAATAATAAAAATGTAATAAAAGTGAAATAAAAATGTGCTTGTAAATTGTTAGATTAGATAGCATACGCAAAAGAAAAGAGTCATTCAAAACGTGATACAAATTTTCCAAACGTTTTAATGTTAAATATCAAGATGTTTGATAAATGTATATTTTTAGACTATATGTATATGTATATTTATATGTATATGTACATGTCAGGGTGTCCTGAAGATTCCTCAGAATAACCCAAATAATACAGGTTATTGCTATTACACTTGGTTGCACACCAGAACTTGATGGTTAGACTCTATTGCTCAAGATAATACACTCATCTGTCATAGGACACAGACAAATCAATGTGTTACTGACCAGGGAATCCCTCCATCCCTGCTTTTTTTTCTTTTCTTTTCTTTTTCCCCCAGCTCATTTTTATAGTAATGGAAGGTGTTATACAGTCTTTAAGGAGTGGGAAGTCATCAACATTATTACCCAACTGTGAACCCTGTGATCTGTTGTAATGACCAACATGTCAAGCTGTATCCATGGGTTCAGCCAACTGCTTTCTGCTTGGATTTGAGGCCTACTCCACAGGAAGAAACAGAGGCCTTGTACTGTGGATCTGGCTAAGACCCTATGTTTGGAGGGGGGTTTACATGTCCTGGGGGAACTTACTAATATTATTTTCAGACTGAAGAAATGCAACTGTCTCTTTCATTTTCTAAAAAAAAAAAAAAAAAAAATTGGACCACAATTCTTATCAGAATGCATCTCTTCTCCCTCTAATATGAGCCATCACTATTCATCACACACAAAAGTGTCCACACACCTGTGTTCATGTATCAGTCAGATATGTATGTGCCTACAGTGGGTCCTCAATCATGAAATCTCCAGTATCCTGAAGAAGCTGGAGTGATAGACAGAATGGCCTTTGGTCTTTTAAAGACACAGTTACAGTACCAATTATGTGCCAGCATCTTGAGGGCTGGAGCAAGGTTCTCCAGAAGGCAATATATGCTCTGAGTCAGCATTCAATATATGGTATGGTTTCTCCTATAGCCAGGATTCATAGGTCCAGGAATCAAGGTGTGAAAAGGGAATATTTATACTCAGTATCACCCCTAGTGACCAACTAGAAAATTTTTTGTTCCCTGTTTCCACAAACTTAAATTCTGCTGGCCTAGAAATTTTGGTTCCAGAGTGGGGGAGTGTTCCTGCCAAGAGGCACAGCAAACATTCCATTGAACTGGAAACTCAAACTCCCCCCCTGGTCATTTTGGACTTTAAATGCCCTTAAACTGACAGACTAAGAAAGGAATAACACCATTAGAAGAGGTGATATATCCATCCAGATTACCACGGGGAAATTGGATTGTCTCTCAACAATGGAGGTAAGATGGGTTATATCTTAAGATCTCTGATCTCTTTTCTTCTTCTTCTTCTTTTTTTTTTCCTGGTTGTCTGAAAGCACAGGGACAACCAGGTAAAAAGTACCTTCAGTTCATCTGATCTCATCATGAAACCACAGTCAAACATCACCTTTTGTGTCCTTAAATACCTCTTTAATTGTTATTATTCTGGGCCCTCTTCCACCTGTGCAACAGGGAATAACCACTCCACCCACATAGTAGAGTGGGAAATGCAACTGTGCAAGCTATCTAGCCACATTGTGTCCAGAAGGAAGAATGGGAGGGGCTTGTGGAGTGCATGAAGATAACAGGGTCAGCTATTGGATCCAGGGGCAAGTGATATTGAAATACATATTGAAAGACCCCCACTATGCTTATTGCCTGTTTGAGCTGCTCTTGCCAACTTACCAAGGTCAAGTTATGGGAAAGCACAGGAGGGAACCAGATGTTCCTCTCCTCTGATGCCAACCAGATATCTGTGGTCTGCAGCTTGGACCAAAGCAAGGTCAGCAGGACCATATCTGAAAACAGAAGGTCCTGGGAGCATTCTATTGAGACCACTAGAGTGCTGAGATAGTCATAACTGTATTCTTTGTGCCCAACCCGAATAAACAACTCTGTCCTTGGTTGACCCCAATTGCCTTAATTGAATGGACCAATGAAATCCCTGTAACCATGCTTCTGCTTCTGTAAGCCTGCTTCTTGCTGCCCAAACCCTATATAAACTGCCTGAGTTTTAACCTCAGCAAGCCCAGTCCCCTGAAAGACTGAAGCGTCCACAGGTACCTGTGTGAGCAATAAACAGCCTCATGCACTTGCATCCAGTGGTCTTGTCTCATCTCTTGGGGCAAGGGCCTCTCCCTGACAGACTCCGAACTCTTGGGGTCTTTCAATATCTCTGCAAATCTGGAAAAGGTCTGTGTTTGCCCTGGAAGTCAGGACCAGGAATCACTGTGCTGTGTCTTTAAGCACACTATAACCCTAAGGGAGGTGCTCTTGTCACTCAGGCCTCATTAGCCAATCAGAGCCTCCAGACGACCTGCCAGTCAGAAGTGGTGCAGGGCCCTTCCGGCTGCCGGCTTCAGGACTGGCTTTGAAGAGGAGCTGGCACCAGTGGTTTTGTGTGCTGTGCTGCGATTGTTACTGCAAGGAGCTGAGAAAAGAATTTGGGTGAGCTTGGAAGCCACGATATGGTAAGCGAGGAGGGGCTACTGTCCCCAGATTGGGGAAGAGCAGATGGCGAGGTGCGGGAGCTAGTTTGGTGGATCCTCCCCGGATCTGGGTGGGAGTCTGCAGCTAGATTCCCGGTTCTGTGAGGTCCCGTGCAGTCCTTGGACCCAGGTGCAGGCTCCAGGATAACTTTGCTCTGTGGGCTGAATCTACTCAGAGCATTGGGAACAGGGAGCTGTGTGTAGAAACATGTTTCTAGTCAACTTCAACTTGCTTGGTGCATACATGGAAAGCAGGTCGCCAAACTAGAGAGGCCTAGTAGTTTCTTCAGTATCTTCTAGATGGTCAGCACTTTGCATTTTACCTTTATGTGTAAGATCCATTTATTGTTAATTCTGTGGAAGTTGTAAAAGGCATCTCATGTGTGTGTAGCACTTCACTGCAATACTGTGATGTAGAAGAGTAGAACTGGTAATATAAAGGATTTACCAATGCTTAGGAGATAGTCTCACAAAGCATAATTTAGCTGAGGGAGGACTACTTCTAAGACACCCAAATGTATGCTAACCAGGCTTGTTAGTGATTAGGAAGCTAGGATAGAAATTTGTACAACAGGATTGCCCAGACAGTTGGTTTCAAACAATTACAAAGAAGCCACCCCTGTTTTATAACCAGCCTCTAGGCTCATCCCCATATCAAAGAGCAGGTTTCCAACAAGCTGCTCAAGGAGGCTTTACAGGGTCACAACCAACCTTAAGGCCTGGTGTGCCATAAAGTTCCAATATGACATCAGGTGACAACTATTTGAGAAGAAAAACACTGTTGTGTTAAGGACTTGCCTGATGAATCAAGGCTTTCATTTAGGCCCTCAGGCAGGGAGGAGGAATATTCTTGGGAGAGCTAGTGACAGCCTGTGGCCTAGGCCTTGGGAGCTTCTCCTAAGGGCCTGATGTATTGACAATAAAATAGAGAGCCTTGTCTAAAACCATGAATTTGCTTTGGAGAGCTAGTAATGGTCTGGGGCCAGGGCCTTAGAGGAGGGGTTGCTTCAGATCCTGAGAACCCAACTCTTCCCACCATATGGAGCTAAGGTTATCACCATGGGCTTAGTCAGTAACGTTTTGAGTTCCCTATGTTCTCCTTGTGTAGCATTGTTTGATTAGATTTCTGAATTTGTCCCATTGTATGATGTTTTCTGCTTACTTCATAGAAGTCTCCTATTTTCTTTCGTTTCCCTCCTGGAACTAGTATATAAGATGCTATTTTTCTTAAGAAGCTTACTTGGCATGGGACATAGTCTGTACAAACCTCCCTGCCCCAGATTTATTTTTTTCTACCTTCTACTCGGCCTATATTTCTCACCCCCTGCCACCTTCACTCACCCTCAGCACCCTGTAACTGAAGAATGACCTGCTGTTTCACGTCACTGGTGTACTTAGGAAATTATTCTGGAAATATCTTCGCTTTGTAACTCTCCTATCTGCAAGTCATTTGTCTCTATTTAAGTTGTTCAAAGTGTAACCTGGAGCATGAACTTAAAAGATAGTTAAGGATGACTGTACATGTGGAATGCAAATATGTGTAGCCTGTCTCCTCTTTGAGCATTAGCCAGAGATGGATGCATACTAGCATTCATCTTAAGTGTGTGAAGTGATTTCTCCCAGGGAAGGCATATTAATTCTAGAACAGCTGCATTTCCAGCTCCTTAGGAAAATGTTTCTGAGACAAGCTCTCTTATGTTGACTCTGTACCACCTCAGAGTTTTAAAATTGTCCATTTTAGTCAATGCCGTCATAGGAAAAGGGTTCACATGTGGAGTATTGCTTCTGTCCTCAGACCAAAATAGGAGAATAGTTTATTGTGTACACTGCATGGGAAGTAGGGTAGGTAACCAGCTGCTGGAATCACCTGATTGTGGTAGGGGAGTGATTTTTTTTTTTAATTTTCCAGCGTTTTTTAAAATTCATGTCATATGAATGACAACAGACCAGATTGTATGTGTATATAGTAGCGAAGGTTATCTTGAGCCAATGAATATTGAATTTGTAATTAGGTAACTTTCCTATGCAGATATGTTTAGTCCTGCTTAACACAGTTATGACAGCTTAGAGGTTTTGTGTTAGGTTACAGATCTCAGCCAACATATGTACATGGTCAAAGTCAATCTATCTCTTATTAATAACATTTCCTCTACTAGGGAAGGACCTATTCTGTTTTTTTTTTATCTTAAAAATACATTATTTTATCTTGTAAAAAATCGGTATTATTTTAAAATATTTTTAAGTGTATTACTGCTCTTATTTCTATTGTTTCTGTTCTCTAATGTTTCCATGTCATTAATAGTTTCATACCTTTTTCCTTTTTTTCTCAAATGAGGTTGATTATTGATTTCTATGTAAAGCAATGTCTTCTATAGCTTAGGTTTGTCTTGTGCCATGTAATTAAGAATTCTTTGAGTACCTAATCCTGCCTCTACTGTTCAGTGCTGGGAAGACAGTCCTGCAGCTCCTTCCAGACTGCGCCTTCACTAGTTGAGAAGGAAAAATGGACCAGTTAATGAGTGACCTCCAATCACTTTGACTTTTAGTGGAGACTTAAAAATGAAGAGGGACCAATGCAACAATTGAGTTCATTGACCCACTTTGAATCTGGGAGAGTCACATTGCAGAAAGGAAAAGGCAGGACAGAGGGTAAGAGCTTTCCTACTTCAACAGTAGTTGAGGTTACCAATGCGGAATTAGTCTATTTTAGATGCTCCATAAAGTATAATAGGACTAAATTAAAATAGAAGATCTGAGTAAATGGTGTGACCATGCCTAACAGAACTGTTGTTTTTCTGGTTTAAGATGTTCATTCTTAGAGAAAAGGTATGAGACATCTTTGATGTGCTCCAATACAAATCCCTAGTCTCTGGAGCACATGGTCTAAAGCCTGTTTCAACTTTTCAAAATAATTTTTGAGATTATAACTATATTATATCCACATTCTTTTTTCTGCCTCCAAGCACTACCATGACTCCTCATTGTTTTCTAATTTATGGCCCCCCCTTTTTTTTCCTTCTTCTTCAACAGTTACTATATGAATAAGACCTGTGTCTTCAGGATTTCTCAACTATGAGGCAATGTGTTGCCTGTGCTGGATATTGAGTGTGTAATGGAATGTGTACACAAAGGACCCTGTGTTTTGGATGAGGAACAGAATGTGCTCTAGGAGAGTGGAATATTGTCTACTAAAATACAGACTTTCTAGACTAGGACCCTGTCTGCTGGGCTGGAAGGACTGTGCTGTCTGAGTCATTTGATCTCTGATCACCCAGTAGGGGAGCTGTTACTATTCTGAGGCCCAGTTGGGTGGCTATAGCCAATGAGGGACCCTGGGGAGGGTTAGCAATCAGAAGTACTAGTGGCAGGTATCTTGCAGGTTTTTTTCAGGATTCTCCCCTGCTTCTGTTGTAAGAAAGAACACAAGCTATGCCATGGTGAATATAGGGTGTTCAGAGCTGGTCTACAGAGCTGTCATTTCTGCTGATATTTGTATAGACCATAAGCCAGACTGGTTTGGTTCATCCATGTGGTGTCCTGGACAGTGTTCCTTGTCCTCTGAGCCTCGCTGAGCCTTCCTCTAGGGAGGATGAGACTCTGCACACCTGGTATAGGAGGATATGTTTGTAATATCACTGTCCAGTATGCACACACAGGCACTGCTTTTGGTGTTCAGTGAGAACACAGATTGAAAAACTGACAGACTGGTTTCTAGTTGTGAGTATTGCCTTCTACTTTCAGGTTTGTCTTATAAATGTTACAAATAGTTTAGAAACTGTTAGAAAGATGGTGATGCCCATCATCTTTCAGCAATACATGATTAGAATGCTTTTAACTTTCTGCTGCCACCAGCTGCAATGGTGTGATTCAGTGAATGTTAGTTCCAGAAGACAAAAGGAGTTTCTGACCTGCAGAGATTTCTTAGGTGTGCATGGTTTTGGGCAGGTAGATTGGGCAAAATCCACATCTTGTGCCATAATCCATGTGGCAGGAAGCAGCATTTAAATAAGCATTCTATATTGTTTTGGCATTGGGCATCAATGGGGCTGGGTTTACCTGAAACCACAAGGAGATAGATATAAGTGGCTATGGAGCCATAGCTTGAGGTCACCTCCATTTGCAGAGAGAGCTCTAGATCATGGGGCCTCTGTCTTTGGAAGAAATATCAGTAGCTGGAGTGTCAGAAACAACAATTTAAGTGTAAGGGACACTTGGAGTTAATATTGTGAAAGTTGTGAAGTCTGATGGGGGATATCCTTCTGTATATATGTTTCTCTTATTGGTTGATGAATAAAACACTGTTTGACCAATAGAGGCAGGAAGATAGGCGGGTCTAGGAGATAAGGAGAGATCTGGGAAAGGTAGGCAGAGAGAGACAGTGAGGAGATGCCATGAAGCCAAGGAAGGAGTAGCAGGTCCAGTCCCTGGTAAGATAAGATCACATGGAAATACTTAGATTAATAGAAATGGGTTAATGATTAAGACAGAGCAAGCCAAAAAGAAGCCGTAGCCATCGACCAGCAGTTTTATAATTACTATAGCACCTCTTTGTATTCATTTAGGACTGAAGTGGTGGGACCAGACAGGACAAGAAAAACCTCTAGCAACAGAAGTCTGTGTTTATTTAATTTGTATACTTGTAGAATCATATTGAGCTGAGTAAAGTTGGTCAAGATCATACTTTTCCAGGTTACATTTCCTTTGATATTTTGACTAAAAGTTGACTATATTTTCCTGCCTTTGTTCTTGGCTTTTTTCTCCAACCCCTTTAGTATTTTGCAAATATTGTACACATTTTGATTGTTGTATCTTTGTGGTAAGTATAGAAGCCATATTATGTCAATCTGTGTACTATGTTTTTATAATCCCATTGAGCATTCTGAGTGTTACCACTGTGAATGTAGCTTTGTAGTCAGCTTTCCTGTTACAAATTGTTGGGCATTGCCATTGGGTTGTATTCATTTTATGGTGCAAATTTACCATATACAACATCTTAATTTTAATGCATCAAAATTATTTATTTAGGTTTTGTTTGTGTTGCTGTTAAACTGGGAAAGACTTTTGTTTTATTGGATGAAAGAATATTATGGGTCTTGGCAGGGGGTTCATCACATATACTTTTTGAAGATGACCTGAGTTCATATGTCTACACTCAAGTTTGGAGGCTCATAACTCTCTATTATTTCACATCCAGGTGATCTGACACCCTCTTTTATATGTCAACTGTATACATATGGAAGATAACCTCTCTCATGCACAAACATATGCAGAAAGCTAGCAATAAACTTGTTTTCTAAAGTGCTTGAGATTTATAAAGCAGTTCCAGTAGTCTTTTTCCATATTCCCTCTCTCCTTCCCAGCCTGCTCTCTCCTATTCCCATCCCCACCCATGCCCGTTCCACCCAGAAAATCTATTCTATTTCTGCTTCCCAGGGAGATTCATATATTCCCCATTTGAGCACTCATTGTTAATTAGCTTTTCTGTTTCTGTGGATTGTAGCATGGTTATTCTTTACTTTACAACTAATATCCGTAAGTGAGCTTATACCATTTTTGTTATTTGAGTCAGGGTGATTTTAATTTTAATTTTTTATTTATTTATTTTTTTGTGTTTCCTTCCATTTACAAGTTTTATGATGTCTTTGTTTTAATGACTGAGTAATGGCCCATTGTGTAAATGTACCACATATTTTTTTTATCCAGTCTTTGATGGAGGGACATCTAGGTTGTTTCCAGTTACTGGTTATTAGAAATAAAGCTGCTATAAACATAGTTGAGCATGTGTTTTTGGGGTAGTATGACTGCAAAATTGAACCAACATAGATACTTTAGGGCTATCTTTAAAAAAAAAAAAAAAGTAAAAAAAAAATGTATTTGTCAAATGGAAATCAAAAAATGCTTTGGAGAAGAGGTTTTGCTTTTGTTTCTTTGGGAAATGAGAGGCTGTGGATTCATTCCATGTTGATAGGGTTAGGTGTGCTATCCACTTGTTGTTGGGCAGGTAGATAAAGCAGATTCCACATCATGCTCCATAACCCATGTGGCAGGAAATAGACATTAAATTATTCTTCTATACTGTTTTGTGATTGGATATCAATTGGGCTGGGTTTTGCATTTGTAGAGCTGTAGCATGAGATTACCTCCATTTGCCAAGAGAGCTCTAGACCTTGTGGACTCTCTGTTTTGAAGAAATATCAGTAGTCGAAGGGTCAGAAACATAACACTTTAAGGTCAATTTGAGTTAATTTTATGAAAAGTTGTGAAGTGTGTGTTAATTTCTATACACTTAGAATTATAGGTAGTTGGGTAACATTGGTCAAGATCACACTTTTCCTTGCTGAGTTTCTCTTGGTCTTTTGATTAAAAAGTTGACTATATTTTCCAACTTTTTGTTCTTGGCTCTTTCTATCTCATTTTTTCTTTCACAAATTATACATATTCTTGATCGTTGTAGCTTTGTGATAAATACAAAAGTCATATGGTGTCAGTATTTTTTAATAATCCTATTGAGCATTCTGAGAGTTTCCACATTACATGTAGCATTGTGATTAATAATTCTGTTACAAATTTTTGAGAATTTTATTTGAGAATTATATTCAATTCATGCTGCAAATTTGCCATACACAACATCTTAATATTGATGCATTATGTTCCCATAGATCATTTATTTACCTCATTATAAAGAAGGCCATTGCTATGTAATGGAAGCCTATCAAGGTGCCCTAAGGGTTAGACTCCATCCAGTTAAACCTTCAATTTAATGGAAGAAGTAAGCAGCATGATTCCTACTCCCAGGAAGCAACTCCACACAAAATCTGCTGCACCTCTGGTCCAAACTGTGTTGTGTCCATCACAATTCAGAAATCAAACTTTGCAGGATCACCCATCATATTGTGGAAACTAAAAAGAATCAAAATTTAAGGTCATGGATTCTTAGTATGTGTTTCCAATTCAATATTGTTGCAGGCATCTATGTTTGGCAGAGTCAGAAACCCAGTGAGGAGACTGTGAGAGTTCATTGCATGAAGTTGTGAGGATGAAGCCTGGTGTTGTTGGTTGTGTTCTTACTTTTTATTTTTTACTCTTTACTCTTTTGGGGGCCTGCCACCCAGCTCCCAAATAACACACACACACACACACACACACACACACACACAGGCTTATTCTTTCCTATAAATGCTCAGCCTTAGCTTGGTTGCTTTTCTTAACTTAAAATTATCCAATCTCCATTTGCCTCTGGGCTTTAGTTTTCTTTATTCTGTATACCTTCCTTTACTTCTTACTCCATGCCTTGCTGTGTAGATGGGTGGCTGGCCCCTGGTGCCCTTTTATCCTTTTTTTTCCTCCCACATTTCTCCTCCCATTTATTCTCTCTGCCTGCCAGCCCTGTCTATCCTTTCCTGCCAAGATATTAGCCCTTCAGCTCTTTATTAGATCCATCAGGTATTTTAGACAGGCAAAATATCACAGCTTCACAGAGTTAAATAGATACAACATAAAAGAATGCACCACATCTTTGGATCATTAAAACAGATGTTTCACAGCATAAAACAATATAATACAACTTAAAATAATATTTCACAACAGCCTGGATTTCATTTTGAGACCACAAGATATTGAGATACCTAAGCTATTAGACATCGTCCATGGAGACCTAGCTGCATATAGTGAGTGGAAGTAACCAAAAGGAGAGGTATTATTCTGTTTCCCAGCATGACAAGTATTCATGAATTGACACTGCCTGAGTCTTCTGAGTCATTGGATTGCAGGTATATGACTTCTTCCTGCCTGTTGTATTTGTTTTGAATTTTTTTTAATGAATATGAATATTTTACTTGTATGCATGTATATGCCACATGTGGGTACCTGGGCCTAATTGTGGTCAAAAGATGGTCTCAGAAACCCTGGACTTGTAATAATTGATAGTTTTGATCCCTCATGTAAGTACTGGTAGTTGAGCCACCTATATGCAAACATGAACAAGAACTCCTTTACTACTGAGCCGTCTCTCCTGCCTTGTGTTGTTTAGTTATAGTCAGCATTTATATTGCTAATGTTTTCATCTGTTCATTTGTAATTGTTTAAACATGCAGTGCCTTTTAGTAAATTCTTGAAGTTACAAAATAAATTAAGGCACTTCAGGTTTCTGTAAGATGAATACAGAACTGGAGTGAATGCATAACTCTATGTAGGAACTTCAGGAAAACCTCTTGAGTTCCTTCTTTTGTTTTGTTTGGGAGGCAGGGTCTTAATATGTACTTCTGGCTGTCCTGGACCCGATTGGATAGACTAGGCTGGCATTAAACTTAGAGGCAGATATGTCAGCCTCTGCCTACTGAGTACCAGGATTAAAGACATGAGTCAATATACCCAGTTTGTTCATCTTAGTTTTCTTTTTTGTAGTTAGTACTTTTTCATATAATTTCTCTCATGTGTACTCTGTACTGTTCATCTGTTTATTCTCTTTTTATGTTTGTTAATGTGCATTTCTCTTGCAAGGTACAGCCATGATATAGATGATCCTCCCATTCAGTTTCCTTCTAAAGTGACTTGGTAATTACATTATAATGTCTATGTTATGGAATAAGTGTGGGTAGCACCAGAATTATATGACTATACTGTCAAAGAAGTATACATTTACAGTGTTGTCAGCATCATACTTTCTGTTGTACACATGTATGGGATATTTTAGAATACTGTAACCTACGATGATGTGCATGTCAACTTCACTTGGGAAGAGTGGACTTTGCTGGATCCTTCCCAGAAGAGACTCTACAAAGATGTGATGCTGGAGACCTACAGGAACCTCACTGCTATAGGTAAGACTGAGTTTTCCTTCATGTTTTGAAATAAGGGGACAACTGTTCCTAGTTTATTGATGATCTTTTGCAATTTGATTGAGAAAGAAGAAGAATGAGCTGAATAAATCAGGCATGGTGTTAAGGTACACTGAAGATAGTAACTGAAATGTTTCACAATTTTCAATAATGTAACATACATTGTCTGGTACTATATTTTAGGATACAGTTGGGAAGACCACAATATTGAAGAACATTGTCAAAGTTATAGAAGACATTCAAGGTAATTTTTATGTGCAAGTTGATAGAAATGTGTCTCTGAAGAAATTGTAATGTGTCCTGTAAGTTTTTTTTTTTTTTTTTTAAAAATACCAACAGTGTAAATAAGCACAGCTTGAAGTACATTGATGATTATTAAATTCTCACACAATCATATACCTTAATCCCAGATAGGTGAATTACATGTGTAAGGCATTCTTTAAAGAAAGATGACAAGGAAGCGATGCCTCATCAGATACCAGCGTTTGAGTCATAGTACTATGATAACTATGCTGTAGAGTTGTCAACCCATTCATTTCATACTACTCACATTTTTCTAAAGGTATACACATTGAAGAGGTGAGAAGTGTATATGTCCAAAGCCTTCTAATAAGCAAATAGTCCATAGTAAAGCTGTTGTTACTCATATACTTGTGACTGTGCTAAGTTTAGTGAGAGGTGCAATTAGAGTCAAGATTGAAAGGTCAATAGTTGTAGAGAAACCTTAATTCTTATACCACAATGTATGAGAACAGAAAGTCCAAACTGTGTGAATTGAATGTGGGAACATCTTATTTGTTATTCTTTTAGTAGGTTTATCATACCTCACTCTGGATACAAGCCATAGGAGCATAGGGATATGGGAAGATGTAACACACCTCTCTATCTGAACAATTAGAAAATATGCAGCCATCCTCACATTGAGTATTCTTGTTGAATTTGATTCCAGTATACAAGTAATTGGTTTTGCAAGTTTCATTGTTAACACATCAACAAACTCATACTGCAGAAAAGCTCTAGGAATACTAGGAGTATGGAAATACTGTGTTTGTCCTAGTTCACTTAGCAAATGCAGTATGACTCATAGTATAGGAAAGTTTATGAATGCAGTAAGAGTGGTAAAGTTCTGAGTTTCTCTAGTTCTCTTCAAATATGTGATAAATCTCATACAGAAAAAAAAAGATTCTTAAATGTAAACTACGTAATAAATGATCTTACCATCACAGGTATCTTCAAAGATGCAAAACAACCCATAATGAAGGGGAACATGAGTGTAATCACAGTGATAAAAACCTTAAGGTCTGAATCACCTTTACAATTGGATCAAACTGTAAAATTAATTCATACAATAGAAACATTTAACAGTGTCTTGAATATTATAAAGTGTTTACATATGCCAATTAATCTTGCAGGCTTGAAAGAAGTCAAAATGGAGAGAAACCTTCTATATACACACAATGTGTTAAAGCCTTTGCATATGACAGTCACCTTCAGTGTAACAAAAGAACACATAATGGAGAGAAACCCTATGAATGTAATCAGTGTGGCAAAGCCTTTGCAAGTCACAGTTATTTCCGAGTACATTTAAGAACACATACTGGAGAGAAACCTTATGAATGTGATCAGTGTGGTAAAGCCTTTGCACGTTACAGTAATCTTCTAATGCATAAAAAAACACATTCCAGAGAGAAACCTTATGAATGTGATCAGTGTGGTAAAGCCTTTGCACGTTACAGTCATCTTCTAATGCACGAAAGAATACATACTGGAGAGAAACCTTATGAATGTAATCAGTGTGGTAAAGCCTTTGCGTGTCATAGTTCTCTTCAACGCCATGAAAGAACCCATACTGGACAGAAACCCTATGAATGTATTCAATGTGGCAAAGCCTTTTCACAACTCAGTAATCTTCAAATGCATGAAAGAACACATACTGGAGAGAAACCCTATGAATGTAATCGATGTGGTAAAGCCTTTGCACATCTTGGTCATCTTCAACGGCATGAAAGAATACATACTGGAGAGAAACCATATGAATGTAATCAGTGTGGTAAAGCCTTTGCACATCTCAATACTCTTCAAATGCATAAAAGAGCACATAGTGGAGAGAAACCCTATAAATGTGATGAATGTGGTAAAGCCTTTGCACAGCATAGTCAACTTTTAATGCATAAAAGAACACATACTGGAGAGAAACCCTATGAATGTAATCAGTGTGATAAAGCCTATGCACATCTCAGTACTCTTCAAATGCATAAAAGAACACATACTGGAGAGAAACCCTATGAATGTAATCAGTGTGGTAAAGCTTTTGCAAGTCACAGTTATTTCAGAATACATATAAGAACACATACTGGAGAGAAACCTTATGAATGTAATCAGTGTGGTAAAGCCTTTGCATGTCATAAAAGTCTTCAACGGCATGAAAGAACACATACTGGAGAGAAACCCTATGAATGTAATCAGTGTGGTAAAGCCTTTGCACATCTCAGTACTCTTCAAATGCATAAACGAGCACATAGCGGAGAGAAACCTTATGAATGTAATCAGTGTGGTAAAGCTTTTGCACGTTTCAGTCATCTTCAAATGCATGACCGAACACATACTGGAGAAAAACCTTATGAATGTAATGATTGTGGGAAAGCCTTTGCACAGAACAGTCATCTTCAAATGCATAAACGAACCCATACTGGAGAGAAACCTTATAAATGTAGTCAATGTGGTAAAGCCTTTGCATATATCAATAGTCTTCAAACTCATAGGAAAAAATCACAGTGCAGAGAAATCTTATAAATGTCATCAATGTGGTAAAGTTTTGCACTTTATACCAGGAGTAAAGCTTTTTTTGTGTGCAATCAGTCTTTTAATGCCTTTTGCATATTGCAGTAGACTTTGAGTTAGTAGTTCTGAAAAAAACTAATTCTGAAACTCTTGTTACTATTAAGTATTTGGTAAGATCTTTAGCCAACACACTTCCATTAAGTTGCATAAGTGTACTCTGGAGAAGAAATTTTGACAGTGTGTCAACAATTTATTGAAGCCTTATGATGTCTGTATTTTGTTTGTATCTGCAAACACATGAAAACAAGCCCTACGAATATAAATGATAAGGTAACTGGTGATATTTTATTTATAATCTAACAAGTAAAGCTTGCCTGAAGATCAGCGTGCAAAGCTTAGTCACACTATTAGCCATAGAGGCCAGGCAGTGGTGGTACACATATTTAATCCAGCACTTGGGAGACAGAGGCAGATGTATCTTTGTTAGCTCAAGGCTACCCTGAGCTCCAGTCTAAAAGAGAAGAGAAACAGAGCTCATACAAAGGTGATCCCAGCACTAGGGAGGTGGAGAGAGGAATATAAGTTGGGAGGAGACAGGAGCTCAGTGGAGTCTGAGGGTCAGTGCAATCTGGAGATGCAATCTGAGGAGAGGATCAACCTTTTGGTCTGCATTGGTAGAGGTGAGAACTCTCTAGTGTCTGGCTGTTGTGCTTTTCTGATCTTTATCTTTAACCCCAATATCTGTCTCTGGGTTTTTATTATTTATACCAACCAGAATTCGTGCTATATTTGCTGCCCAGCTTTTGGTGTACAAAATCATGAAAATGCCATTTGCCTGTGGCTTTTTAATGCACCGGGATAGGCCAGAGCTATATGCAGTTGGAGTCACTGCACTACTGCTAGGCTTTCCTGATGGTCTTTTCCTGGACCCCCTTCTCAGGCTGCTGTCAAAGTAGGTAGCTGCCTTGAAATCTGGTCAGGCTTTTATAATTCTATGGTGCAGCAGTTACCCTCACATCTTCATCATTATTTTTGACAGATTTGGTAAGAAATTGGGAATTCTTAAAGGGAGGAATTAGTTAAAAGAGAGACTTCCCCCCCCAAAATTAAAACATGGACAACACTATTATAAGGTCTCTATGATTATACATTGGATGGTTTAAAATTGGAATAATCCACTTAACTGAAATTGAACTACTGTTGATTACCATTTTGATAATCCTTTTGGTCTGTTTGATAATTTTTGGTCTATCTCTGAATTCATTGGTTGATATGAGTGCCAATATACATGTCTTAGAAAAACTTATTAAAACAGATCATAGAGATATTCAGACCCTGACAGAGGAATTTAAAGGAAAACCAATTTCAGCTTTGCATTATAAGGTTAGAGAAGAACAGTTTAAGGTTTTCAAACCAACACTAGTATATCTAGTAACCTTACAGGAGTTGCCGAATGGTAGAAGCTCTGTAAGACCTAATTGGACTCCTGTGACAATGTTAGATGTAAGGAGATTCAAGGAAGCAATAGTCCCATATGGCACACATTCACTGTTTGTGAAGCACCTGTTAAATTTGTGGTCATTTTGTAATAGAATTATCCCTAAAGACTGGACAGACTTGGTTAAAACTGTTTTAGACCTGCTCCACAATTACAATGGAGTACCTGATTCATAGAAGAGGCTGAGACCATTGAACAATACAGTAGAACTAGAGGTATAGAAATCTCCCAAGATCAACTTCTTGGAGAAGGAGATTGTGCTACTATAGAAGGTCAATCTTTATTTGATGACCATGCCCTGGCTTTATTCCATGCATCAGCTTTGAGTACTTGGGACAGAATTCAAGAAGTTGGAAACACGATTGAGTCATTTACTAAAGTTATACAGGGTCCAAAGGAAGCATTCACATATTTCTATTAAAGACTAACATCAACATTAAATGGAATGATAACCAAATTCAGAAGCTAGACAAACAATTTTTGAATTTCTGGTGTTTGAAAATGGTAATTCTTATTGCAAAATAATAATTAGTTCTTTAAAGGCAAGGTCACCACCATTGGAAGAATGGATCTAAGATACATTGAATATTCAATGCCCTGTTCATGATGATGCATGGACAGCAGAGGTGATTTCCAGGGTTTGAAGAAAAATCAAAATGTCAGTTGTTTCAATTGTAGTAAACAAGGTAACCTTAAAAGGGATTGTAAAGGGACATTCCTAGAAACAATGTTTTTTTCTAACCATAATTCAGTTCACCTTATGGATTATGTAGAAGGTGTGGCAAAGCAGGCATTGGACTAATGAATGTAGATCAACAAGGGACCTTCAAGGTAAATCTTTGCTGTTGGGAAACTCCTTGAGAACCCTCTTGCATGCCCCTATACCAAATTTGACTCAAGTCATTTCCTGTCGTCCTGGAAACCCCTTCTCAGAGCAATTACAGAACCTAATGCCTATTATAAGA